AAGATATTATAAGGAGAATAAAAAGACAAGTGACAGGGGGTAGAAGGTATTTGCAACTAACAAAAACTTTGTCATGACCGTAATAAGACACCACTACACATCCTACAGAATGGCAAAGTTTTTTTTTAAGGGGGGGGCGAGGCAGAGGGAGAGAGAGAATCTTAAGCAGGCTCCACAACCCTGAGATCATGACCTGAGTCAAAATCAAGAGTCAGATGCTTAACTGACTGAGCCACCCAGGTGCCCCCAGAATGGCAAAGCTTTAAGAATCTTTTGGTTTGTACGTGGAGCAACAGGAATTCTCATATGCGTGAGCTGGCATACCGCTCTGGAAGGATGTCTGACATTATCTACTAAAGTTGAGGACAGGTGTTTCATATGACCCAGGAATTTCACTCTTGGTTTACACCCTGAAGAAACTTATATGCATATGCATCAGCATAGTAATGAGCAATAGTATACATAATAGTAAAAACCTGGGAAAATTCCAAACGTTCTACTTACTATACACTGAGCAAATAAATTCTAGTATTTTTATTCAGTGGAATATTATATAGAAAACAGCCGAAAATAGAAAAGGTCAACTGCACAGTGATCTATGTAAAGATGCCTGTCCTCTTTATGGTGAGAAAATGCCAGACCAACAGGGCTGAGAAGAAAATTAAAGAGAGTTCCTAGGAACCAACTGTGGCCATGGCAGGGAGTGTTTTTGTCATGTATCAACATGGTGTAGACACTGTGCTAGGCTCTTTTAAGATATGTCTACTTCTCACAACCCTTTGGTACAGTAGGAATTATTTTGCAGGTAAGGAAACTGAGGGACAGAAAGGTTAAATGACTTGCCTGAGATACACAGATGCTGGGTGGCAGAAGTGGAGATTTAAAACCAGGCATCAAAGCCCACATTCTTTCCGTTGGAGTAGAAGGTGTTGATTGCCTTGCAACGACTGTTCGCCCACTCTCCTTTCTTCCAGAACCCCGATTTTATAATGGCATGCCCTCTCCTCTATGCTGTCACCCTACGGATGGCAGAGCAAAAGATGGAACAAGCCTGGGCCCCTCGCCACTCTAGAGCAGCCCAGCCATGCCATACCAGTTGAACGTTTATTGCTTCCTTTTATTTTTTCATTTGTTTTTGGAAAACAACTCTGGGGCTAAGTGGTTCTAGAATTGTTAGGGTTCTTGACTCAAGAAGGAAATACAGTTAGAAGGCAAACTTTCCATTGCCTTCCAAAAGTACACTGTAACTATGACAGAACCCAAATCGGATGGCTGTAACATGCTGCAGGACCTACAATAGAGCTGGCTTACACAGCCTGCAGAGGAGTACCAACCCAGAGGCCCCTGAGTGTGAAAGGCCTACAGCGGCCAGTGTGAGAGCTTTGTCCCAGGAATGTGGGACATCCAAGAAAGCACTGTGGGACAGGGCTATGCTTCACCCTGCCCCCTACTCATTTGCCCTATGAAGCTCATAGGCCCCTGCCACATAAGAAGCCCCAGACAGTTCTGCCCCTCCCACTTTCCCACACTCAGCACTTCCTCCTAGTCCAAAGCAGTTAACCCCAAAGTGGAAATCCACAGCCACCACACTGTTACATCCTCACAAACTAAGAAGTTCTCTGCCCCAATCTGTGTTCAGCAATCCTCCTAGATCTTCTAGTGCCCTCCTGATGGCAGGTGAGGGAGGAGGGTGTCTGATTGCCCAGGGCTGTGGCTGTAGACATAAAACTTTCTCTGTTCAGATGCTGGAATCCTTTATTCCTTCTGGTGGGGGGGGGGGGGTTTCAATCCCAGGATCCTGAGATCATGACCTGAGCAGAAACCAAGAGTTGCACGGTTGGAGGCTTAACCGATTGAGCCACCCAGGCACCCCTCCTTAGTTTTCTATAACCTTCAAAGCTGTGCCCTGACTCCGGCCTTTGGGTGTGGCCTTGGTTGGCTGTGTCCCTGGCATCAGCAAAGCCCTTGACACAGTGTGGACTTCGGAGAGCAGCTTGGATGAAACCCCAGAGGCCTGGAACTGTGGAAAAGTGGGTTAGCCCGGCTTACATAAGGACTATTTGGTACCATTTTAGTTTCTGTTCCAATGTGGGAACAAACTTGCTCCTTAAAACCCTTCAGATCACAGGAGTGCTGTTGACTTATGTTTATGTCAAAGCCAAAGCCTCAGGCTAATTTGGGAACTGACAGGATTCTGCTAATTCCTTATATAAATATGGGATCTGCATCCTGGCCTTCCAGGCCAGGGTCTTGGGTAGGACAACTGGAGCCTCCATTTGTCTCTGAATTTTCTGGAACCAAATTGCTTTTTTCTCTCATTTCAAGGTCCTAGGAGAGAGAACCAACAGCAAAGGCCATGTCTGGAAGCAATTTGGGTGGGGGAAGGGGTGTCTTGAGGCCTGCCCAGATCTTTTCTCTTTGTTCAGCCTAGGGAATGGAGCCACGGCTGCCCACTCCGGGCTCTTTTGTATAATTGCCCCCAGAAATCTGACTTCTAGAAAAACAGTAAGCTTGCAATGCATTCCAGATCTAAAAAGATAATGATCAGAATCTGAAATGACTATTTTTCATTAAGGAAGTATTTCAAGAGGGGCTGCAGTACCCAAAGAGCTGACTGCTTGCCCCTGAGCCCCTGATGAGGAGTGAGAAGGAATTAAGACCCCTGGGATTGTGTATGTGACCAGAAGTCACATCAGATTCTGCCACGACCCGCAAGTGTAGCTGATATTCTTCCTACAGCTCCTGCTATTCTCAGGAGGAACTGAGGTCCAGACTCTGGGCCCTTTGTCCAGCCCTGCCACCACCCACAATACAAAGCTACACTGAGCCACCAACCAGCAAGCGCCCCGGAGCAACCTTGATAATGAGCAGATGGGGCCATGCTCGCTGCTGCAGTATCAGCACCCCATTCGGACTTTCACATGAGAAATAAACTTCCACTTTGTTCCAGTGGCTGCTGTTTTGTCTCCGTGGCTAAATCAAAAGTTCTAGTATCATATATTTTAAAGTTGCAAAGAGAGTGGATTTTAAATATTCTTATCACAAGAAAAAATTTTGTCACTGTGAGGTAGTGATGTTAACTAAACTTACTGTGGTAATCATTGTGCAACATATACATGTATCAAATCATTATGTTGGACACCTTAAACTTATAGTGTTATAACTGATGTGTCAATTGATATGTCAATTATATCTTAATAAAACTGAGGGAGTGGTGGCCGGCGGGGGGGGGGGGGGGTTGTTCTGGCAAGCCTAGAAAGCAGCAGAAGAATTAGGTTCAAAGAAAGTGTTCTGGCAGTTCAGCAGCTATCTCGGGAGCCAGAAGGGAAGGCCCCAGGTAGCTTTCTCTCCACATCGCTCTGGTGTGGAGCATTCCCGTTTCTCTAGGCCTGTCTGCTCCATAGACCTCCCATAGTTCAGCTTCCTGAGCTCCTCCAAAACTTCACCTTGGAAATATATTTAACTAACTCTATCTGACCTTCAAGCCTATGTGATCCTGTGGGTCCAGGAAAAAAACAAAAAACAAAAACTAGCAACAGACTCCTGACTCTTGGTCCAAATTCTCGATAGAGAGAAATATTCTCTAAGCTTTGTGCGGTGGCAGTGTTGTAGCCAATGAGGTTTATCCAAGGCACAATTAATTGAGAAGTGTTCTTTGGCATCAGTGGATACCCTGCTTTTGAGTTAGGCGCTGGTTGAGTCTCTCTGGGATGGTAGGGAAATCTGCCCACTGGGGGCCATGAGAGAGAGCAGTTTCTCTAGGAACTGATTCGACACGCCTACCTGAGGAGAGAGAAGGGAAAGGCAACTCTAGAGAAGACACTTTGATGGTTCCACACAAATCTCATTGGCTCCTTGGCTTCTGTCTTTTACGTGGCAGCCCAAATCTCTTCCTGTGTCAACATCTCCTTTGAAAAGGCGGCTATAATCAGGTAAACTGGGTGAGGTGACCTAGGGGAAGGTAGATGGCCAGGATGGGGAAGTGTGTGATGTGGGGCTGGGGAGGGGGATGAACCCTATTGCCCAAGATCAAAGCTAGGGAAATAAAGTTTCATTGCCAAGTCCAAAGGTCAGGCGCAGTGGAAAATCGGACACAAAGCCAAGGTCAGGAGCCAGCAGAACTAGAAGGAAAAAAAAAAAAAAGGAATAGGCCAAGGAATAATAGGCGGTACACGGTGGCTGCTGAGGAGCTGGTAACAAGCCTAGCTCCACTGCTCTTAACGTACGCTCATACACAGAAGGGTCACAACGAGGAAGACGGAGCCTGCCTGGGCTGAAGCCCTATCACCAACGGAAAAGAGGAGAAACCAGTGTTTCTTAACCCAAGTCCACAAACTCCGTAACACAAGCCTGTGTTCATTTGTGCGTTTTTCTGATATTGTTAAAGGGAACAGCGCCCCCAAGAGGGTTACTTTAAGGCCTGATTCTGGTCGTCCCGCGAGAGGGATCACTGCGGGGTCTCCCGTCTTGGCGTAGGCCTCGAGCGGCCGAAGGCCTCGGCTACCCTCTAAGGAAGCGGAATCCCCCCGCCTCGCGTGCCCCAGGGGGCTCGCTGCGGCGCGGCTGCCGTCTGAGCTAATTCCCCCGGGGTGAGAGAGGAAGACTTAAGCCAGCGGTGGAGGACGGACACACTCGCGGAGGGACGAATTAAAAGAGGGGGAGCGTGCCTGGTGCCCCTCCGAGCAACTGCAGGCGCTGCCCAAATGCGGACATTGACGGCTCAAAGATTAGCGTGAGCCTGGCCTGCTTCTTCATAATCCGTCCGTTCCGTCGTACGGGTTAAACAAACGTAGCCTCGCACTTCTGGCGGGGTCCGTCTGGAGTCCCGGCAAGGCGCCCCGGCCCGGCTTCGCGTTCTGGCCTTTGCCCCACCTCCTCCAGGGCCGTGCAACCGCGCCCCCCCAGCTCCGCCACTGGCACCAGGGGAGCGGCGCAGAGCCCCGCCCCCAGCCCGCCCCTCGGGGGCCGTGGCGCGCGGGCGTGACGTGACGCGTGTCGACGTTGGCGCACGCCGAGACGGAAGAGGCGCGGGCTGGGAAAGGAGCAGGCTGCGGCCGCGGCGCCACTGTCCCCATGGCGCTGTGGCGCGGCTCTGCGTACGCCGGCTTCCTGGCGCTGGCGGTGGGCTGTGTCCTCCTGCTGGAGCCGCAGCTGCCCAGCTTGGCGCTGCGCTCGCTGTGGAGCTCGCTACAGCTGGCGCCCGCGCCCCCGGGACCCGGCTCCCCTGAGGGCCGCTTGGCGGCCGCCTGGGACGCGCTCATCGTACTGCCGGCCCGGCGTTGGCGCCGCGTGGCCGTGGGGTGAGTGCCTGCGGGCCCTGCGTCTCTGGGTCTCTCCAGGAGGTGCGGGTGCTCCGGGCCTCCGAGCGCCGCCTTGGCGGAGTTCCGGCTGCTGGGGAGCTAGGAGGTAGAACCGCGCGGAAACGGGTTCCCAGACGTCCCCCGGGAGGCTCCTAGGCGCTGGTGTCCACGCTGCCTCCTTGGCGAGAAGCGTCGGATGTCTGGGACCAGCCCTGTTCGTCACTGCTGTAAGGACTCAGCATACTGCTTTTTCCTCTTGCCTGGTCCCTGCGCCCTTCTCTCATTTCCGTAGGACCAGCCTAATAGCCTCTTGCAAATCCCGCGCAGCCTAACACCCTCATGTACAGTCTCCTTCATTCCTGTTTCAGTTCTTTTGGCGACTGCGTTTTTGCGGCAACCAATTTGACGGCGTTCGCCTTCCTCTGAACTTCTTGAGTGAGTGGCGTGGTCACTGAGGAGTGACCTCAGTGCTTTAGCTACCGACTTTCTCTTTCTTGTTTCCCCTTTTTCTTTTTTTTTTTTTTAAGATTTTATTTATTTATTTGAGACAGAGAGAATGAGAGAGAGCATGAGAGGGAGGAAGGTCAGAGGGAGAAGCAGACTCCCCGCTAAGCAGGGAGCCCGATGCGGGACTCGATCCCGGGACTCCAGGATCATGACCTGAGCCGAAGGCAGTCGCTTAACCAACTGAGCCACCCAGGCGCCCCGTTTCCCCTTTCTTAATACCATAGTCTGGGAGACCACCACTCTACTGAAACTACTCTCGAAGCTCACTGGTGACTTGTTGATTTTCCAATTCAGCTGTCTTTTTTTAGTCTTCGTTGTCAACTCCCTGCAGTTCTTCCACCAGCTAAACTTGCCCTTCTTGAAACTCTTTTCTTCCCCTGACTTCAGTGACATTGCATATTTACAGTTCTCCCAACTCACAGTGCCTCCTTTCTTTGTATTCCTCATTGTTCCCTTCACACTAACTTTAAATCCTGTCTCAGTTCAACTTAAATATCTTGCCATCAGCTCAGAAGCACGATACAAAAGCAGACCTTCTACGAAGTACTCTGCTAGTGTTTGTGAGTACTGGGGCAAGGGTAAGGTAGAGCAAAGTTATCCTGAAGATTAAACGAAATAATTGTGTAATCTTGCATGGCGTCTTCTGTAAAGAGCAGGCAAATGTTAGTATTTTTTTTTAATATTTATTTTAAGTAATCTCTACATCCAATGTGGGCCTCAAATTTGACCCTGAGGTCAAGAGTCGAATGCTTCATGTGCTGAGCCGGCCAGGCACCTCATAGTACTTTTTTTTTTTAATCAGCATATCGTTTCTTGAAATATATCTCCTTTTACCTCTTTTTTCAAGTTCAGGCCCTTTCAGCCACTTCCTTATCAGTTTCGGTTCTTTTTTTTTTTTTTTAAGATTTTATTTATTTTGAGAGAAAGTGCACAGGCGCGAGTGTCGGGGGGAGGCAGAGAGAGAATCTCAAGCAGAGTCCACGCTGAGTGCAGAGCCCAACGTGGGGCTCGGTCTCGTGACCCTGAGATCATGACCTGAGCTGAAATCAAGAGTCAGATGCTTAACGGACTGAGCCACCCAGGCACCCCTCCCTATCAGTTTAAGTGTCCTCCCTGGCTTTATGCAGGTTCAGCAGATATCAGCAACTACAGGGTATGTGTCAGGTCTGTGCTAGGTTCTGAGGTTGCAGAAATGGGTAAAGCAAGGTCCCGGCCTCATTTGTTGAAAACATATATTCATTATTAGTGTTCCAGCTGGCATGACAGCATACCAGCTTCATTTGAAATCCCACAAGCAGGTATGCTGCCCCTCCTTTGAAATCTAACCTGCTATCTTCCAACACAATCTTGTTCGTTTTTCTTAATCTCCCTTACAGCAACAATGTGGCATGAACACAGAGACAGAAACGGGCTTACCTTGTGCCTCTGGTACTTGACAGTTGTGTAATCTTGGGCCAATCAATACTTACAAGCTTCTGTAAAAACTTGATGACAATATTTGTATCTACCTACTTAAGGTTGTTAGTAGCAGAAGCTGAGCTATCAGCTGACAGGCTGAAGTTTAGGAGCATATTGAGGAGCAGGCTTACAGGCTTTGAAGATGCCAATAGTTAGGTTGAGGTCAGAGAGTGTATGGGATCACACCAGAGGAGAACAAGAAAAGAAGGTAAATGGCAAGGGTGGGGTTCTGGGAGGCACCAGCATGTAAGGGGCTGGTGGAAAGGACCCAGAGAAATAAAGGATAGGAGCCCACTACCGTATCTTTCTAAGATGTTGCCACCTCCCCTGCTTCAGAATCGGATTCTGGTGCCAAAGACTCATTGGGTGAATGATAACCTAGTGTTCATTCCCCAATACATGGCTTCACCCTGACCTTTGAAACCTACCTTACTCTACTCCTCTGTTTAACTCTCCATTCTAACTAGATCAACATTCTTATTGTACCCAGAAAAAAAGTTAATCCCTTCATTCGCATCTTTGCTTGTGCATGCTCCCTGTGAGAGCTTTAGTATCAGAAATCTGGGTTTGAATTTAGGCTTTTCCAGTTGTGGAATGGTAGTCAACCCCCAGCTTCAACTTTTCTCAGCTGAAAGTAGTGTGACTACTTCCCTATCTTATCGCGTTTTGCAAATTGGTGTGGCCTGTCTGCAAATGCCTGCCTTATATTCAGTGCTTCTTAATACCAGGTTTCTTTCTCTGTCCAGAGCGCCATCCCGAGTTCAGCCCAGGGACCACTGCCCCCACCCCTTTGGATTTCTCTTCTCTGCAGTTCTGCATCTTATGGTGATTATGATTACCTATTGCAGTATCTCAGGTATAGTGTTAAAAAGCTAGGAAGAAGCTAAGGAAACATTTTACAGATAATGAAGCAGAAGGGAGGTGATGAGAACCACCATCCTTGCTTTTAAAGAACTTGCAGTCTAGAAGGGGAACTGTGCCCCTTCCCCCACCCCTCAAGAGCCTTGGCAGTAGGCCTGGAAGCCCAGGCTCCCCTACCCTTCTAGCCCTTCCTGTTGTTTGGACATTCAGCATTGCTTTATTTTCCAGTTATTTCACCTGTGTCTTCGTTTTCTCCAAACTCACATTATGATCTTTTATACATTTCTTTTTTTTTTTTAAGATTTTATTTATTTGAGAGAGAGAGAGACAGTGAGAGAGGGAACACAAGCAGGGGGAGTGGAAGAGGGAGAAGCAGGCTTCCTGCTGAGCACAGGACCCCAGGATCATGACCTGAGCCAAAGGCAGATGCTTAACAACTGAGCCACCCAGGCGCCCCTCTGTTAGACATTTCTTACTCAACTGTGAAATTCTGCCTAACGTCAAACGAGCATAATTTTGTCTTCTGGTTCTTTTGCTCCCTGCCTCCCTCCCTTTAATTCCTGAGAATAAAGCACCATAGGTAATGTGCTTGTTTACATTCCTGGATGCTATTGAATTGAGGTAAGAGCAGAGGAAGATTCTTGCTCTGGTTAAAGTATAACTAGAAAGCACATGGAGAGGTACTTAGTTGGGTATCTGGCAAGTAGATGTTTAGTGATCTTTTTATTATTAAAAGCTACTGAATAAAATTTTTTCCTTTGTAAGATTTTTTTCCCTTGGTATTCATGACATGATGAAGTGGGCTGGTGGAAAATATTCCTATGGTAGGTACATATTTTTAACTCAAAATTAGTTCTGTTGGGTTTTGTCTTGTGTTGCAAAATATGTTGAACGTTGTTCCTTTTGGTTATAGGAGGTTTTTGGGTTTTGTTTTGTTTTGTAACTTTTGCAAACTTCCTCCATTCTCATCTTTAAAGAACCAGACCCTGTTCAAGATCTTAGTGTATTACTGGAGATGAAGACGATGTGTTTGTGCAAGCTACTGTTTTCACATGTGGGCATCCCTCAGTGTCTGAACTTTTGCTCTCCAGACTCAGAACCCAGATCCATTGGGAAACATTTTCTAGATAGGGCTGTTGGGTGGAAATAGTGTCTCTCACTATCCAAACTTGCACTGTCTGAAACTCGGGAACCTACTTGAATCTGAGAGCCAGGGAGAGTATTCCTATTAAGAGTCTACCCTTTAGACATCTAATCCAGTAGAAATAAAGAACTAAGGAACACCTTGTATGAGGTGGAATTTAAACACCAGTTTAAAAGGTATGCTTGGTTTATGATCAGTAGGGCTGTGAAAGGAATGTACTTTAAACATCATTAAGCACCTGCCACATGAATGTCAATGTGTTTTATGCACAGAAAAGCATAGTAACTCTTAGATTATGCCTTTAGAGTATGTGTGTATCTTTGTTTTAAAACAGTAAGAACATTTGAATATTTAAATCCTGTTTGGTGGGAAAAATCTTTTTCAAAAGCATGGGATCCATAGGGGAAAAATTAAAGAATTCTTATGATGTGGGTACAGTCAATTTGTGTCACTAGGAGAGATGTGTCTCTTCCTTGCCCTTGTAAACCTTGCTTGAGTGATGTCAATGATGTCTAGCCTCCATACGAACCTGTTAAAAATTATATTGTTTTTTAATTATAAAAGTAATACATGCGTGGGGCGCCTGGGTGGCTCAGTCGTTAAGCATCTGCCTTCAGCTCAGGTCATGATCCCAGGGTCCTGGGATCGAGCCCCGCATCGGGCTCCCTGCTCAGCGGGAAGCCTGCTTCTCCCTCTCCCACTCCCTCTGCTTGTGTTCCCTCTCTCGCTGTGTCTCTCTGTCAAATAAATAAAATCTTTTAAAAAAAAAGTAATACATGCATATAAAGATCAGAAATCCATCTAGTGAAAAATAAAATTCCTCTCCCTTGCCCAATTTCATTCCTTTTAGAATTTACCACCATTAATGAATTCATGTGTTAATTTCCAGATCAAGAGTTTGTTTTTTTTTTAAGAGACTAGAAGGGAAACATTGTAGCTGTATTCTACACTAGAAAGCCAATCCTTTGGGCCTTCTTTATTGATGAGTATACTTTCTGCTTTCAAATCTGCTCAGAATTATGCTGGAAGCCTAGCCATCCTTATCACCAGGAGCTGTTTATTGGCCTGCTGTGGAGCCTTGACCTTCTCAGAGGCTTTGAGCTGCCTGTGTGGTCATCTAGCCCCATTGGCAAGAATGACATCCCCAGTAGGCAGAGGCAGGAATAAAGGTGACTGTGGGGTGGTGGGCAGGAAGTCTACCTCTAGGTACCCAGATTATTTGACCCTTCTCTTTTAAGGGATGGCTTTTAGCAAAATAACATTAAAAATATAAACCAGAACTTTTCTGTGCACACCATAGAGAGGTGGTGCCAGACAACCACAGTGCTTTATAATTTGGTTCTGTAGAGCCAACCAGGTGGTGCAGCATTGGCTTCTTACAAACCCTTTAAAAAGGTCTCATGGATTGGTCCAGTGAACACCTGCCAAGTGATGAATTGTTACCAGACTGCAGATGGTCCTCAGTCTTTAAGGCACCACTTAACTCTTGAAGAGTTTCAGCCAGGAGTATTTAGACATTAGGTATTTAGTGTATCTTACCACCATCCTAATGTGTCTTTGGAGGGAAGGTATCTGATATTTGGCTTTTGACCAAAACTTATATTTTGCTTACTTTGCACCAAGCAGTATTCTTAAGCATATATTAATTTAATCTTCAAAACAGCTCTATGAGTCAAACACCCATATTACACCCTTTTATAAATGAGGAAATTGAGACCCGGAAATTAAAGTGACTTGCCCAAGTCACAAAGCCAGGAGGAATCCATACAGTGTGGCTTTGCCAACATTTTCTCAGAAATGCTGTATTTGTGTTATCATGATAGCTTTGTTCTGAAATGCTGAGCACCTGTTTTCTCTTTCTAGCTAGCGTAAAAGCTTGCCATGCTGGGGATGCCTGGCGGCTCAGTCGGTTAAGTGTCTGCCTTCAGCTCAGGTCATGATCCCACAGTCCTGGGATCAAGTCCCATATCGGGCTCCTTGCTCAGCATGTCTCTCTCTGTCTCTCTTTTTATCTCGCTTTCTCACAAATAAATAAAGTCTTTAAGAAAAAAAAAAAGTTTGCCATCCTGTTGGAAAGAACCCTATGTTCTGATCCTAAGACGTACGTCCAGATAAAGGAATCTTCCTTCCGCTATATGCTATTTATTTCCCAGTTCAGATTTCAGATCCGCTTCCTCGGTTTTTCTGTTTGGATACAGTTCCTGGAAACATTTCTCTGTTGTTAATGCAAAGTAGCTGCCCTGGTGCTTCTGCTTTTTCTTTCACACTATCTCTTTGCTCCTTCCTTCCAGAGTCAATGCCTGTGTGGATGTAGTGCTCTCGGGGGTGAAGCTCTTGCAGACACTTGGCCGGAGTCCTGGGAATGGGAAAGATCACACCATTCTGCATTCAAGGAATGATCTGGAAGAAGCTTTCGTTCACTTCATGGGGAAGGGAGCCGCAGCTGAGCGCTTCTTCAGCGATAAGGAAGCTTTTCATGACATTGCCCAGATTGCATCAGAGCTCCCAGGAGCCCAGGTCTGTTTGGTTCACCAGCAGTAAATTTAAGATAAGGTGGGACACAGGACATACCAGATATTAAACTGATAATAAGGTGGGAAAGATAGCTTTTTGTAAGGTTCCTAAAAGCAACCAAGCAACTTTTCCTCCAGTCTCTCTGGAGGGTGATTGTTGGGAATCCAGTTCTGCAGTGTTTTCCCTCTCTGTCGAACTGTGTATCTAAACTTCCATTAACTCCGCTGTTTCTAGTCAGTTCAGTTCAGCCAACATTTATGAAGCATAGTTAATAAATTTTGGTTCTGGTTCATCCAGCAAATTGCTCTTTTTTCATATTACCCAAGTTGAAGGTAGGAAAGATGCCTACTCTTATTTGGATATTGCTTGTGGCTGATAACATGGAATAATCGTGATATGGCTGAGTCCTTCCTGAGCAGGAGAATAAGGCCAAACAGAGCACTAGATTTAGCTTTTGCTCCCTTTGGGCAAGGGAGTCCTGGATCCTCACCTCTGCTCTGGTGGTCCAGAACCAGGTTCCTTACCTCAACATTACGAATGCTTTGGGTTGGATAATTCTTTGTTGTAGGGGCTGTCCTGCACAGGGTGAGATGTTCAGCAGCATTTCTCGCATCTACCCACTGGATCAGACAGTAGCACTCCCCTCCTTCCCTAGTTGTGACAGTTAAAAATGTCTCCAGACATGGTCAGTTGTTTCCAGGGCTAGGGAGAGGAGGGAAGCAAAATCACATTGGTTGAGAAGCGCTGGTCTAGATCAGTGGTTCTCAGACCTGAAACAGAGTCAAATGACCAGACAAATGTCAGGAGGGCAGCTACTGAAACAGATTCCTGGGCCCTGCTCCCAAAGTTTCTGATTCAGTAGTTGTAGGATGGGGACTCGAGAATTTACTTCCCGTCTGGGAAGTTTTCTGGTTACATTGATGGTATTGTTCTGAGGACCTTGTGTTGAGAACCCCTGGTCTACAGGGTAGAACCTGTCAGACCTAGGGGTCCCCAAGCCCACACGGTGATCATAAACAAAGCCTTGGGGCCCACATGGTCCAGATACTTGCTTGAGGTTCACATGGAGTAAGAGGCAGTGCTGGGCCTGGAGATCCCAGGCCATCACCCCAGCATACCTGCTGCTACACGTGCCCTCAAGCCTCTTGAGACTGAATTTTGATTGTTTATTTCAGTGTCTCTCCACCACCCAGTTCTTCCTACTCACCTAAAATCTTCCCTTGGCTAGTCACCCCCAGTCTGGATGTGGTTCTTGCTAGGGGAGCTCTTAATGCCATTTTTAATTGGTACTTTTCACAGGCCATTCTTTATGACCACTTTTATTTTGAGAACTTTCAAGGTAAAGTTCTTTTTGCTTTTGAAGCTTCCCATTTGAACATTAGAAGTGGGCATGGGCGTTACCCAGCTGAGTTTGTAAAGCAGACAGCAAGCTGTTAAAATGTCAGCTGCAATCATTTTTATAGCTGAGCTCACTAGTGAGATTCTGATCTCTTATGAATCTCGATAGTTCTAACATGATGACAGGTCTGCTGCTAAAAGTCTTTATGATCATAGTATTTGAACCACTAATTCAATTTCTATTCTCTTCTGCCTTGATCCTGCTTTTTGTTTCATAATGCAAAAAAAAAAGAAGTTTTTTCTATAAAGACTTCACCTACCTTTTTGATTGTCCAAGTTATTTCTTAAAATTATGAGACCTAAAATGCTCTCCTTACCTTCCATGAGGGCAACACTTCATTTGGTATCTTTTCAAACTCCCTTAAACTGTAAGCAGATTGATAAAACAGTAGTCAATAACTATTTCATGAAAAATCAAAATCCACTTCATGGAATCTTAATATTTTTCCCCAAGATTTTTAGTAAATTCTTCTGGCCATAATAGTCAAATAAAAATTCATGCTAACATGTGAAAAGACCAAATTTTAGCCTATATATCACAGAAAGCTTTAAATTTACCTATAGGAAGCGGTTACTATTTACCCGAATCTGGAGATTGGTCAACATGAAGTTTAGGATGAAAGCAGTGTCTAGAATCTAGAATTGAATTGTTTAGTCTGTGCCTCTGCATATGGCCAAGGACTGGAAGGTGAGATGGTGGCATTCCATCTGGGCAAGAGTATTGACTAGGCTTCTCAGTTTTCATAATGGAGCCTCAGCCTTATCTCCTACTTGTCAGGTGTCCAAAACACATGGATCCATCCTTAGTCAGCAACATGGAATACCAGCCTTGAGTCGTCTGCCTCTCCAGCACCAGGTCTGCAGCTAAAAGAGGCAGTGTTTAGGAGACATCGTTCTACGTTAGGACCCATTATACTTAGACTTGCTCCCAGGAAAGCCTTTGTATTTTCTAACACATCTTTCTCAAAATTTAGCAACAAACATCCACTGAGCACTTACTATAAGAAGACAGCCAGTCCTGCCCTGAGGGAGCTAGTCATGTACCCAGATGACAGTAGCCCAAGTGGACAAGGGCTTTAGCGGAGGCTCGAGTATGGGGGTAGCGAGGGATCTGTAATCCTGTCTGGGAGGGCAGCTGTGGAGGCTGAGGTGGCAGTGGGGAAAGGGGGACAGCAAGCATGGCAGAAGAGGTGCGTGCAGCTGATTCTTGAGAAGGAAGTGGGGATTTCCCAGTGCATGAGAAGGGCCAGGCATCCGGAAGAGAGGAACAGCATGTGCTAAAAGCACAAAGACAGGAAGACAGGCTCAGAGAGCTTGCAAGCATGGCGTGGGAAGGAAGCGCAGGAGAGGAGGGTAGAGAAGAGAGCAGGGGGGGTGGGGAGCAGATAAGGAAAGGCCTGTGTGCCTCACTTACAAGTTGGAGTTTAGTTCATTATAGTATCTACTGAATGATTTTTAGGAGGAGAGTAACACAATCATACACTCGTTTTAGTAGGACTGTGGCACAGATGATAAGATTTGTCCACATTTTTCATGTTTCCTTTATCTCTTCTGGCTTCCTGAAAGCTCAAGGCCAGATTTGATCTACAGTTAAGGCAGTTATACTAATTTTCATGGTTAGCATATTTGGTTTTTTTCACCTTTGTTTAAAATTCATTGTGTCTTAACCTAGGTGGTTAAAGATTTTATTAAAACCTCATCTGTGTGTCATTGTTGTAAAGCAGCCTCAAAATTTTTTGGAAAAAAAAAGACTATAAATTCAATAAATTAAAAAATTACTAAGCTTGGGTAACATGGTTTGCTAAAATACTGTCTAATAACTTTGAACTATCTTACAGCACTACGTAGGAGGAAATGCAGCTTTAATTGGACAGAAATTTGCAGCCAACTCAGATTTAAAGGTAGGTCAAATTCCCAGATTAAAACCTGTATCTTTCACTAGTGTTTGAATAATTTTGGGAGCATGAATAAATATTCATCTTATGGACCACCTGTGTGCCAGACACTAGGTCTCTTGTTAGGATGCAATATAGTAATAGTGGGACAGTAGCAATAGCTAATGCTTTCTCAGGGCTTACTATGTGCGGGACAGTGCTTTACATAGATTATCTCAGGTAGTCCTAGCCACAGCTGAGGCCAGTTGGTGCTGTGGTTTGTACTGTAAGTGTCTTGCTTTCTACATGAAGCTTGAGGCATAGAGAGACGGTCATAGCTAATCAGAAATGGAACTATTCTAACCTAGGACTCTGGCACCCACATTCTTAAATACTATATCACATGACAGTTGAGAGGATGTGGGCTGTGGAATCAGTACCTAGGACTGGGGAACACACAGTGATGAGAGAAAACATAGTTGGCGGTATTGATGAGCCTAGATCCAGAGTGTTAGGAAATGAAGGCCTGTAGGTGGAGGTCAGTAGGGGGGTGTCTTCAAGTCTTAAACCATTTGGTTTAAACAATTAAAAATTACTGCTGTGTTCAAAATAACATGTGAGTAAGAAGGTTCTCTGCTATGAGTTGAATAGGTTTGAGGGGAGAGGCCAGCAAGGAGGTTATTGCTCTTTTCCTACTGTAAAATGATTAAGGTTTGGATTAGAGCAGCCAGAAGGGGAGAAACAGATATATCTAAAGCCTACTAAAAATGGAATCATTTGAGGGGCGCCTGGGTGGCTCAGTTGGTTGAGTGTCTGACTCTGGACTTCCGCTCAGGGTCATGGGATGAAGCCCTATGTTAGGCTCTGTGCTGGGCGTGGAGCCTGCTTGAGATTCTCTCCCTCTCCCTCTCCCCTGCTCCCACCATGCACATGCATATGCATGCGCTGTCCCTCAAAAAAATGAAGTAAGATGGAATCACTTGGTGCTAGACCATATGTGAGGACAAAGAAGATAGACTTGACAAAGATGATTCCAGAGTAAACAAACTTAATAAGTGCAGAATAGATGTGGCTACTGATGACAGAGGGGGGAACCATGAATAGTCCTCAAGTTTGGGGGAACCAGCCTGAAAATAGAAATATGGGTCAGGGGCACAGAATCAAAGCCCCAGAGATACCCAGAAATACAGATAGATAACCAGCTGTTTGAGGAGGAAAAAATGCATATTGAATGGTTTTCGTATTTCAGTTTGATATGGTAATTACATTGGTTTTCAAATGTTAAACCAGCCTGCATCCTTAGAGTAAACCTCACCTGGTTCAGATGTATTTTCCTTTTTTATATTGATGGATTCGGTTTACAAAATTTTGCACCTCAGTGGCTCAGTCGTTAAGCATCTGCCTTCGGCTCAGGTCATGATCCCAGGGTCCTGGGATCGAGCCCCTCAGTGGGAAGCCTGTTTCTCCCTGTCACACTTCCCCTGTTTGTGTTCCCTCTCTCACTGTCTCTCTGTCAAATAAATAAATAAAATCTTTAAAAAATAATAAAAATAAAAATAAATTTGCATCAGTTTCCATGAGGTCTGTATTTTCCCTGTGTGTCTGCCTGGTTTTGGTATCAGGGTAATACTGACCTTAAAGAATGAGTTGGGAAATATTTCAGTATTTTTTAAAGAGTTTATGTAGAATTGGTATGCTACCTTCCTTAAATGTTTATAGTATTCACCAGCGAAACCCTCTAGGCCTGGAGGTTTTGATGTGGGAAGGTTTTTAACAACAAATTTGATTTCTTTAATAGATACAGAGAAATTCAGATTCTGTATTTCTTGAGTGGGCCTTGACGGTTTTATCTTTCAAGGAATTTGTCCATGTCATCTAAATTGTTGAATTTATTGGCATAAAATTAATTGTAATACTCTCTCCTTTTAAGATCTGTAGAATCTGTAGTGATATTATCTCTCATTCTTGATATTGATAATTTATATTGTCTTTTTTTTCTAGAAAGTTCACCTTTTTTTTTAAATTCAAGTACAGTTGACACAGAATATTATATTACTTTCAGATGTACAATGTAGTAATTTGACATTTACATACATTACAAAATGATTGCCATGATAAGTATAGTTATCATCTGTCACCATACAAAGATACAATATTTTCTACTATATTTACTATGCTCTCCATCCCCATGACTTATTTTTAACTGGAAGTCTGTACGCTTTAATTCCCTTTACCTATTTTGCCCATTGCCCTATCACCCTTCCCTCCCCTCTGGCAGCCATGAGTTCGTTCTATTTAGGAATTTTGTTTTGTTTGTTCATATGTTTTGTTTTTCAGAGTCCATGTAGAAGTAAAATCAAATTCACTTAGCACAATATCCTGTAGGCCTATCCATGTTGTTTTAGATGGCAAAGTTTCATTCTTTTTTATAGCTGAGTAATATTCTATTATATATATACAACAAATCTTCTTTAACCATTCATCTGTCAATGGATATTTAGACTGCTTCCATATCTTGGCTGTTGTAAATAATGCTGCAGTGAACATAGGGGTACATATATCTTTTTCTTTTTTGTAAGTAGGCTCCATGCCCAGCAAACAAAGGGCTTGAACTCATGACCCTGAGATCAAGACCTGAACTGAAATCAAGAGTTGGATGCTTACCCAATTGAGCCATCCAGGCATCCCATAACTGTATCTTTTAGAATTAGTGTTTTCATTTTCTTTGGGTAAATACCCAGAGGTAGATGTGCTGGATCATACGGTATTTCTATTTTTAATTTTTTGAGGAACCTCTCTACTGTTTTCCACAGTGGTTGCACCAAATTGTTACATTCCTGTCAGTGGTGCACAGCAGTTCCTTTATATACTCATCAACGCTTGTTATTTCTTGTCTTTTTGATACTGGCCTTTCTGAAAGGCATGAGATGATCTCTCACTGTGGTTTTGGTTTGTGTTGCATTTTCCTGATGATTAGTGATGTTGAGCATCTTTTCGTGTGTCTGTTGGGCATCTGTATGTTTTCTTTGGAAAAATGTCTCTTCCAGTCCTCTGCCCATTTTTTAAGTCAGATTTTTTTTTGGTGTAAGGTATATGAGTTTCTTACATATTTTGGATATTAACCCTTGAGCAGATACATCATTTGCAGATATCTCCCATTCATTAAGTTGTCTTTTCAGTCTGTTGATGATCTCCTTGCTATGCAAAACTTTTTAGATTGATGTAGTCCCAGTTGTTTATTTTTGCTTTTGTTGCCCTTGACTGAGGAGACAAATCAAAAAAAATATTGCTAAGACTGATGTCCAAGAGCTTACTAACTGTTTTAGGAGTTTTATGGTTTCAGAACTTAGATTTAAAAGACCTAAATGTAATCCATTTTGAGTTTACTTTTGGATATGATATAAGAAGGTGACCCAATTCCATTCTTTTGCATGTAGATGTCCAGTTTTCTCAACTAATTTGTTGAAGAAACTGTCTTCTCCCCATTGTATATTCTTTCCTCCTTTGTCATAGATTAATTGACCACGTATTAATTGACTGTGGGTTTATTTCTGGGCTCTCTATTTTGTTCCATTGATCTTTTTTATGCCAATACCATACTGTTTCACTTAAAATAGTATTGTGTAGTGTAGCCTGAAATCTAGGAGTGTGAGCCTCCAGCTTTGTTATTCTTTCTCAAGATTGCTTTAGCTATTCAGGGTCTTTTCTGGTTCCATATAAATTTTAGTATTATTTGTTCTAGTTCTGTGAAGACATGTTATCGGTATTTCAATAGAGATTGCATTGAATCTGTAGATTGCTTTGAGTTGTATGGACATTTTAACAATATTAATTTTTCCAATCCATGAGTATGGTATATCTTTGCATTTATTTGTGTCTTTGATTTCTTTCATCAGTGTCTTCTTAACATTTATTTATTTGAGAGAGAAAGAGCACAAGCAGGGGAAGCAGCAGGCAGGGGGAAAAGCAGGCTCCTCTCTGAGCAGGGAGCCCAATACAGGACTCTGGGATCATGACCTGAGCCAAACGCAGACACTTAACCAACTGAGCCACCCAGGCATCCCAACATTTTATTCTTTTTAATGCAATTGTAAATGGGATTTTTTTTCTTAATTTCTTTTTCTGTTAGTTTGTTACCATATAGAATGCAACAGATTATGTTTACTTTGTGTACTGCGACTTTACTGAATTCGTTTATTAGATCCCATAGTTTTTTGGTGAAGTCTTTGGTGTTTTCTAAATACCATATTATGTCATCTGCAAATAGTGACTGTTTTAGTTCTTCTTGACAGTCTAGGTGCCTTCTATTTCTTTTTCTTCTCTGATTGCTGTGGCTAGGACTTCCAGTACTATGTTGAATAAAAGTTGTGAGAGATGCTTCCTTCTCTTGTTCCTGATCTTGTCTTGTTCCTGATCCATTGAGTATGATGTTAGCTGAGGGTTTGTCATATATGATGGCCTTAATTATGATGAGTTATGTTTTCTCTATACTCACTTTGTTGAAAGTTTTTATATTTTGTCAAATGCTTTTTTTTTTGCATCTGTTGATCATATGATTTTTAGCCTTCATTTTGTTAATATGGTGTATCACGTTGATTAGTTTGCCAAAATTAAACCATTCTTGCATCCCACTTGGTTGTGGTGGATGATTTTTTTTTTATGTCTAGATTCTTGCTTTTTTCTAGAGTCAGGATTTCTACCGATCTTGCCAGAACATGCACATTTGAAATTTTATTGTTGTTGTTGTTTTCTTTTTTCATTTTGTTTTATCCATCATTCTTAGCTGTTTTTCTTTAAGTTTTTATTTAAGTTCCAGTTAGTTAACATATAGTGTAATATTAGTTTCAGTAGTAGAATTCTGTGAGTCATCACTTCTGTACAACACCCAGTGCTCCTCACAAGTGCCTTCCTAATACCCATCACCCATTTAGCCCATCCCCCTGCCCACCTCCCCCAGCAAACCTCAGTTTGACTTCTTCCTTGCCAATTTGGTTGCCTTTTATTTCTTTTTGTTGTCTGGTTGCTGAGGCTAGGTCTGAATGATCTTTTTAATGTATTTGAAATGCAATTTGTTAATATTTTGTTGAGGATTTTTGCATCTGTGTTCATCAGTGATATTGACCTGTAATTTTCTGTTTTTGTGGTGTCTTTGTCTGGTTTTGGTATCAGGGTAGTGTTAGCCTGGTAGAATTAATTTGGACACGTTCCTTTCTCTCTCTCTTTTTTTAATAGTTTGAGAAAGAGGTTATAACTGTTCTTTAAATGTTTGGTAGAATTCACCTGTGAAGTCATCTGATCCTGGACTTTTGTTTGTTGGAAGTTTTTTTTTTTTAAAGATTTTATTTATTTGACAGAGGAGACACAGTGAGAGAGGGAACACAAGCAGGGGGAGTGGGAGAGGGAGAAGCAGGCTTCCCGCGAAGCAGGGAGCCCAATGCGGGGCTCAATCCCAGGAGCCTGGGATCCTGACCTGAGCCGAAGGCAGATGCATAACGACTGAGCCACCCAGGCGCCCCTGTTGGAAGTTTTTTTTATTACTGATTTAATTGGTCTGTTCAGGCTTTCTGTTTCTTCCTGTTTCACTCTTGGAAGATAGTTTCTAGAATTAGTCCACTTCTTCTAGTTTGTAGGCAGTCCTCTCTTTTTTTCTTGATGACTCTGGCTAAAAGGGTATCACTTTTGTCTTTTCAGAGAACTAACCCTTAGTTTCATTGATCTTTTCTATTCTTTTAGTCTCTGTTTCATTTATTTTTGCTCTGCTCTTTGGTATCATTTCCTTTCTTCTGCTTTGGGTTTTGTTTGTTATCCTTTTTCTAGTTCCTTTAGGTCAAGGTTAAATTGCTTATTTGAGGTTTTTCTTATTTCTTGACATAGGCTGTATTGCTATAAACTTCCTTCTTAGAACTGCTTTTGCTGTGCCCCAAAGATTTTAAAATACTGTGTTTCCGTTTTCATTCATCTCAAGGTATTTTTTTTAATTTTCTCTGATTTCTTTGTTGACCCATTGGTTGTTTAATAACATGTTTTGTTTCCACATAGTTTGCTTTTTTCTACTTTTTTTTTCTTGGAATGGATTTCCAGTTACCATACCACTGTAGTCTAAAAAGATGCTTGATATGATTTTGGTCTTCTTAAATTTATTGAGACTTGTTTTGTGGCCTAACATATGAATTATCCTGGAGAATGTTCCATATGCACTTGAAAAGAATGTGTATTCTGCTATTTTTAGGTGGAATATTCTGTATATATCTGTTAAGTCCACCTGGTCTAATTTGTCATTCAAAGCCACTTTCCTTATTGATTTTTGGTCTGGGTGATCTATCCGTTGATGTAAATGGGGTGTTAAAATCTCCCACTGTTACTGTATTACTGTCAATTTCTCCCTTTATGTCTATTAATATTTGCTTTATATATTTAGGTCTCCTATGTTGGATGCATAGGTTTTTACAGTTGTTAAATCCACTTGTGGGATTGACCTCTTTATCATTATGTAATGCCCTTCTTTGTCTC